ACCCTTTTCTGGCAATGAAATTTGCGACATCATCAAGCATACATGCCGTATGAGATTTTCTGCTGCCAGGTAATATATATAATCTCATTATGAATGACATGTGTGCCAAACCGTAGCACTTAGAACAAGAAGCTTACCTCCTCGCTTAGGAGAAAGAAAGTGTTTTTTCTGAGCCTCTCGATCGGGCCTCTATATTGCCCAACACGACCCAGTTTCGGAGCTGGCTTCCTTCTTCAATTTATCTAGAGTATTTATTCTGGGTTTCGGGTGTGTGGTTTCCCCGACTAAACACTCGTTCTCATTCAAATGTACAAAACGCTGTCGCCACTCTTTACGACTAGGTATGAGCCAAATCATGGACCTCATCGTTGCTTCCTTCACTTTCCCACTACACTTACTATGTTTTACGAAAAATGTACCACAAAATTAGGTTTGATTGATGACTTGAGAGAAATTATGGTCGCGGGTTGGATTTCTCCTAAAAAGCGGCTGTCGCCTGAGACGAAATAGAAACTTTAAAAAGCTACCTAAAACGTAGCAATTTGATTACGGCAGTAGTTTTCTGCCTGGTGAAGTCGGGTGGCCAGGCCCTCTGACTGATCAAGTCAGATCGCTTCTGTCACTATTTTTGCACGCCGTGCGAGGTGTTTCATACCTGTCGCCAAGTTCTGTAACATCCGTTACCGCTCAAGTAAGACGGTCGTGCAGTTTACATAGAGTCACATAGAAGACAGGAAATTGCCATTTTGATGACTTTTAGCAAGTTTTCTAGGTTTCTAAGAGAAGACGAAAAGAGGGTGTGCTGTCATTTGTAGCCACCTTCGCTGAACAAATTGTTTTACAGTAATGAATGTAACATCCGTTACCGTTGTTTTTACTTTCAATTTTAGTTTCTTCACCTGGTATATAAAAAGTTGCCCAGTTTTAAATATCCTTACTTATGCCCCCTTGCTCTCAAAGGATGAAGATAAAAACTGCAGATCTTCTTGGACAAATAAACAAAAAAGTCCGTTTTGTAACATCCGTTACCGGTAACGGAAGTTACACCTGTAGCGCAAAAGACGTAACAAGAGATTGAATTTCCCTTCCCTACGCACCATAAACATAATAGTTGGAAATAAAGTAGAAAAAATATGAACCAGAAGAAAAATAACCTTCTGTGGCGTCAACAGACTCAAATGTTCTACTCTTCTTTGCTTCCAAAGATATTTTTGCTACTTCTATACACTACACTTATAATAGCTATCTTTATGTGTTCGATACGTGTATATTTACCAGTAAATAATGGGTTGACAGAAGTACTTTCATAGATACTGACTCCTAAACTAATGGCTTTTGAGGTGATGTCATGAATACAAGCTTTATCGTACACCCAATTCATGCTGATGTTCCAGTGTTTTTGCCGCACTAAAAATGCATTGTTTACATATGTCTTATCTGATTGCATAAATTTTCGGTAACTTCCTATCGCTATTAAGCTGTCCTTTTCTGGTACTAAGTAATCATTAATTGAGATGTTTTCCTAAAAAATAAGGTAGGTGTGCCTAAAAAACAGATCATCGATTTTTCACCCCAAAAAATCACCATTTTGTACATTTAAATGAGAACGATCCATAATGTCATCCATACAGATGTAAATCAAATCAACATGGCCTTTTATCTGATGTTTATAACGTTAGTCGGGAAGCTAGGGGGCCGGCTAGAGCACAAAACAGTGTAGCGATTTCTTTATGATACGTAGCCTCGTACTAAGTTCCCCATTTTGTTGTTGAATTACTAACCCTATAAACGTAATCAAGGAGGTTTTGAACCTCTGTAAGAAACAGGAGGAGCCAGTAAAAACCTACTGGTCCCGGGCGGGGCTCGAACTCACAACCTCCCTGGCCCCAGTCAGACACTCTAACCGCTCGGCCTAAAAGGTCTAGACCCGTTTGCCGGATCTGTTGGTAGCGCCTATAACCCCCCACTGTTACACTACTCCCCCTTTTCTTTTCAAGATTCGTCCTCGAATCTTCCGAATTCGACATCCCTGGAGCGGCACTCTCTGCCAGAACTCCAAGGGCCGGTGTGGGAACCACTGTAAGAAACAGAAGGAGCCAGTAAAAACCCCACTGGTCCCGGGCCGGGGTTCGAAACCATAACGTCCCGGGCCCCAGTCAGACACTCTAACCTCTCGGCTAAAATGTCTAGACCCGTTTGCCGGATCTGTTGGTAGCGCCTATAAACCCCCCCACTGTTACACCTCGCACAAACTCACTTGTAAAAGTACCGTCTCCTGCCGACTTTCCGCCATGTCACTTGTAAACATGGCTCTGAAGTAGGGACTGGCCGCGGACAGAACAAGCCGATGGCAGGGAAACCGCCGGCCCTCGACTTCAAGCACGACATCCTGCAGTACTCCGTCCTTCTGTAAGTCACCCACAGCTCCCAAAAAACGCGCTGATGGCTCTTGTTTTGTAGGAACGAGGACGGACTGGCCTGGCGTGGGTTTCTTGGTCTCCGGCAGCCATGTTGATGATGATGATGGAGGACTGAGTGCGATCCGACCTGCTGGAGCGTAGTCTCTACCAGACTCCTTTGCAGGCTGAATAAATAGTAGAAATCGGCAAAGGGAGAAATCATTGGCCAGAGGAGTTGGC